GGTTACGAGGGTTACGAGGGTTAATCTCATGAGGGTTACCCTCACGAGGATCACGAGGGCCACGAGGATTACTTATCCTCGTAACCCTCACGAGGGTTACGAGGGTTAGTTACCCTCAAAAGGGTTACCTTCACGAGGGTTACCCTCACGAGGGTCACGAGGGTTATGAGAGTTACCCTCACGAGGGTCACGAGGGTCACGAGAGTTGCCCTCACAAGGGTTACTAGGGTTACCCTCAAGAGGGTCACGTTAGTTACCCAGGTCACGTGACCCCCCAGGGGTCACGTGACCTGGAGATACCCCCGAGATCACGTGACCCCCCGTTGACGTCATCGCCACTGATGACGTCATCCGTGACGTCACTGATGGCGTCACCGGCATCCGCATCGTCATCATCATCATCACTGATGGCGTCATCAGTGACGTCACTGATGACGTCATCGGCATCGTCACGTGGCCCCAGGTCACGTGACCCCCCTTGCCGTCACGTGACGCCCCAAGGTCACATGACTCCCACAAGGTCACGTGACCCCCCCCGCCCCCCGAGGTCACTTGACCCACCCCCCCAGTACCTTTCCCTTCTCCTCCTCAAGAGCTGCGCTCTAATTCGGCGTTACAGGGAGTTGTAAACGGCTTTCATTTTTTTTTTTTCTTATTTTGTGCTGTTCGTGCACAGTGAATATCTGCTCTCTGTAGAGCGGATATTCACTCAGCTGGAAGTGATGCTGCACGGGCAGAGAAATCGCTTTTCGATCAACGTCAATGAAGTCAAAGTCATGACTTGCGGCAGGTGTTAAGTGCACTACGCCGTGTCGAGCTCGAAAACGTCTAGCGCTTATCTCAGCGCCACTTGGAGGGCAGTTTCTCTAGGAACCGTAGTATATTTAAACAGCAAAATAAAAAAGATTTTTTTGCCGATTTTATTTAATATTTTTCCTTAATGCTCAAATTTTAAACTGTACATATACGTACTTTCCGTCATAGTGTCATACTGTTCGGTCCTTTCCCCAGATCGCAATCGCTCTCGGGGGAGAGTCGACTGACAGACACATTAGCCACTACGATAGGAGCTACGGTTCAGACCAGCGTTCCAACATGACTATCCGCACGTCGATCGATTGCACCTAGTCGGTGGTCTTAAACTCCTTAATGTAAAGCAGAATGTCACCCTGCGTCACCCCACCCCCGGCCGATGACGGCCCGACCAGCGGCACCAATGCCCGATCATCGGGCATTGGTGCCGCTGGTCGGACAAGATGAGTTGAAGTAAACTGAGTTTACTTCAACTCATCTTGTCGTTACACCACTGATACGCGAACACACTTCGATCGGCGATAATTCCAGTCTTCTGTTCAGAACAAGAAGAGTGTAACGCCAAAAGAGAGGAGTCGCAGCGGACGCTATCAAGTGCGATACTCCCGAACCAATACAAGCTACCGTGCAGTTCTAAAGTGGTCGCTGCGAGAGAGGTGGCGGCGTTGCGATCGCTATTAGTTAGGTAGTAGAGTACGGATCGGTGCCACTTTTTCAGAGCAGGCTCTATGGCAGTTTCCCAACTGAGGTGTTCCAGTAACGTTGGTCTCTGCGGACCCCGTAGCAATACCCCCTGCAGACCAAGTGGCTTACCCATGTACCCCGTAGGGACTCCCTGTAGACCTTTATGGGTTCTTTGCAGACCCCATAAGGACCCTGTGTAGACCCTATATGGCTTCCCTGCGGACCCTGTAGGGACTCCCACTAATCCTTGTATGGGTTCTCTGCAGGCACCCTATAGACACCATATGGATCCTGTGTAGACACCCCATAGGGTCTGTATGGGCTCTATAGGGTGTCTTTGTATAGATAGGGTATAAGATGGGGCCTTACATCGGCCACTAGAATAGGACGTCCATAGAACGTCTGTTGGCCGATATTCTATAGGGCGGCCATAGGATGACTTCAGGAAGCCAACAGTGGTCATGGTCTGCTTATAGATAGATGCCTTATATGTTTCCTAAAGACGCTGCTTTATAGAACGTTCTCGGAGTGTCCATACATACGAGGTATGTTAGAAAAGTATCCGACCTTATTTTTTGTGCAAAAAACTGATGGATATGAAACAAGCGCGTTTGCATCAGCCGACCTTGAACCTTCGTCCGCATGCGTGAATTTTTTCCCACCTGCCGATAGCGTCAGCCGCTGGGAAGCAGCGTTTGAGTGAGGTAGTGCGTAGTGCTGTCGTCAGTCTTTTTTATTGTAAGGAAAATGGCGGAGCAACTGGAGCAGCGCTACTGCGTCAAATTTTGCCGGAAAATGGGCAACAGCCAAGTGGAAACCATTCGGAAGATTCAGACGGCTTTCGGTGACGATGCTATGACCAGCACACAGATTAAAAAGTGGTACAACCGGTTTACAGACGGCCGCACATCGGTGGAGAGCGAGCCACGCTCCGGTCGGCCACCAACATGTCGAAATGACCAGGTCATTACCGAAGTGAACGCTGTGGTGATGCGGGACCGTCGTGTAACTATCCGAGAAATTTCGGAAGAGGTAGGCATCAGCACTTTTTCTGCACATTCAATACTGCCCCAAGATTTGGCCATGAAGAGAGTTGCGGCGAAATTCGTGCCGGAGCTGCTCACGGTGGAGCAAAAGCAACTTCGGGTCGAAGTCTCAAAGGACATGCTGGATTGCACAAACAGTGACGCCGACTTCATAAACACCATAATCACTGGTGACGAGTCTTGTATGTACGGGTAGGACCCGGAAACCAAATCCCAGTCGTCACAGTGGAAGCGTTCCACGTCACCAAGACCAAAGAAGGCCCGCCAAGTGCGCAGCAACGTCAAAGTGATGCTGACTGCTTTCTTTGACTTCCGCGGTGTGGTACACCACGAGTACGCACCACAGGGTCAAACAATCACCAAAGAGTACTACAGGGATGTCCTCCGTCGCCTACGTGATGCTGTGCGGCGCGAGAGATCGGAGTTGTAGTCAACAGGGGCACATCCATCACGACAGTGCTCCAGCACATACCTCGCACTTGATTCAGACTTTTTTGGCGAAAAACCAGACTCCTGTACTTCAGCAGGCTCCTTACTCTCCTGATACGGCCCCCTGCGACTTCTGGCTATTTCCCAAAATCAAGAGGCCATTGAAAGGAGCGCGATTTCAGATAAGAGAGGACATTATGGCTGCAACGACAGCTGAGCCAAACTCCATTCCGAAAGAGGCCTTCTCGGAATGCTTCCAACAATTGCAACACCGCTGGGAGAAGTGTGTGGAGTCCGAGGGAGACTACTTTAAAGGTGATTAGGTTTACAACGCTCCAGTTATGCCAGTTTTTTTTTTCTTCGGCCAAAGGTCGGATACTTTTCTAACAGACCTCGTATTTTTTAAGGGTAACACAGTACTGCAAGGCGCGCAAGCTGGGCTCTGCTTGAGGGTGAAGTCAAGGGAATCACAGGCGAGGTTTGCGGGTTTATGCTTCTTTTTTCGCTGCCTGAACTCGTGATGCGTGCGAACATCCCGGAGAAAAATCTTCAGAGTGCCAAAATAGCTAAATTTTGGCTTTGGATCATCGGTTAAAGTAGATTCTGGATTGTAAAACAGAGTCGCCAAATTCAAGTCTCAAAAGATCACGCGTGATCGCCGAGAAACCCCCAACCGCCTCTCAATGTATCTGAACGGGGTCGCTCGGGAACCGCATCCGCAACCGCTTCGGGAACGCGGATTTTCTTCCAGTGTGAATGCGCCATAAGTGCTGCGCTTAAATACTGAAGGTCGGTTATGGCGGCGCCCATGCACAGCTGCGTGAATGCGTCTATGTTCTGGTCTCCTAGCGCGCAGTAGGTGTTCGCAGTAGACTATTTCAGCTCACTCTGCTTGCACCCTGCTTGCACCCATTGCGCCGCGCGTACGCGGAGCGGTAGTGCGCACTCTTTTACATTCGCACCCTAATCGAAGGACCTGACAACCTTCACGTTTCTTCGACGTTGTCCTAGAGGTCGTCTTCGATGTCGCCCCCAGCCCGTCGTCCTCGAGGTCGTCTTTGAAATCTTCCTTGAGGTCGTTCTAGAAGTCGTCCTTGAGGTCGTCCTAGAGGTCATTTTAGAGGTTGTCCTAAAAGTCGTCTTTGAGATTGTCCTCAAGGGCGACGTCCAGGACAAGGTCCTAGAGGATGATGTTAAGAACAATATCTAGGACGACCTCAGGTACGACCTTTAGGGTGATATGAATGACAAGGATATAGCGTTGTTTTAGAGAACGACTCTAAAATAAGATTTTCAGCAATGCATATTCTAACCTCCTAATCCGCAGTAGGCAAGCGCAGTAGACCATTTCAGCTCACTGTGCTTGCACCCCATTGCGCCCCGCGTATGCGGAGCGACAATACGCACTCCTTCACATTCGCACCATTTTCGAAGTACCTGACGATCTTGACGTCGTTCTCGACGTCGTCCTATACGTCACCTTAGACGTCTTCAACGGGTCCTAGAGGTCGCCCTTGAGGTCGTCCTAAGGGTCTCCCTGAGACACCCTAGAGGCCGTTTTAAAGGTTGTCCTAGACGTAGTCTTCGACGTCGTCCTTGAGGCCTTCCTAGAGGTCGTCCTGAAAGTCGTCATTCAGGTCGCCCAAGAGCGTCTTAGAGGTCGTTCTGGATGTCATCTTTGGTGATTTCCTAGAAGACGACGTTAAGAACGACGTCCAGGACGACGTCGAGGACGATCTCAGGGTGATCTCAGAGACTACAAGGACTTAGCGTCGTCCTAGAAGAGAACGCTAAATTTAACAGGGTGTCTCCCCGCTAAAATTAGCAAAACATTCATGTCACGACCTATGCGCCAATTCAGCTTCCCAGCTAAATTTCGCTGTGTGCAACGATAAAAGCTGTCGCATCCGTAGATAATCACCTCTGTGGCTTCTAGAAATTCGCCTCGATCATCAATTTGCTTTACTGTAATTTTTTCGTTTTTTTTTATCTTTTTTGTGTTGCAGATCGGATCCCGCAAATTACAACATGAGCGTCGGAACGTACAGGGATGTCGAAGGTCTCTACCTCAGCCGCGTATTTCACGAGAAGGCAGTCCGTTCGGCTCTGTCCTACGAACCGCAACCGGACGACGTGTTCATCGTGTCCTACCCCAATTGCGGCACGACATGGATGCAGTTCATCGCCTACGGCATCATTAACAACGGCTTCTGTCCGCAAGACACGATCAACTTCTTTAGGTCCACGCCATTCCTCGAGCTCTTGGGCGCCGAAGAAGCCAAGGACATGACCAGGCCGGGAGCCATCAAGACGCACCTGCCATTTGACAAGCATCCCTACTCCGAACGCGCAAAGTACATCTACGTCACCAGGAATCCTTATGACAGTTGCGTCTCCTTCTACTACCACACCGAGAACTTCCCGGCGTACGAGTTTGACGACGGGACCTTCGACGAGTTTTTCGACTTATTTGTTCGAGGCAGGGTAGATTACGGAGACTACTTCGATCACCTTCTGTCCTGGTACGCGCATCGGGAAGACCCTAACGTCATGTTCGTCACTTACGAGGATCTCAAGAAAGACTCCAAGTCGTGGATTCTGAAGGTGGTCGACCTCATCGGAGTAGACTACGGCAAAGTACTCAAGAACCAACCCGCAATCTTGGAGCGAATTGTTTCAACCACAAGCCTGGAGTCGATGAAAAGTACCAAAAAGGGCATGAAGAACTCGGCAACGAGTGTGGATGACGTGGAACCCCAAGATGTACCAGAACCTTTTCGACTGACGAAAGAGTCTTTCGGAGACCTTTCGAAGAAACCAGTGGCTGGTGACTTTGTACGGAAGGGCATCGTCGGAGATTGGAGGAACCATTTTTCACCGAAACAGGTCGAGCAGATGAAAGAGAGAATCACTCTAAAGACGAAAGGGAGCGATGTGATGACTCTGTGGAATGACGTGGATCTCCCGTGACCGCAATGAATGAGAGTTTGTCACTTGCTATTTTTGTTTATTTTTCTGACGAGGTTTTATTTGCCTGTTTAGATTGGGCTTGAAAGTAGTAAGCCTCAGTGATGATGTTGGTGGAAACCAGACTTGTGCCCGTTACTTGAAAAATGTAATGGATTACAATTACAAATTACCGAGCCTCATTACCGTTACAAATTACTTTAGCTGAAAAGCAACGGATTACTTCATTCGTTACGTTACAAAATTACTTTCACGTTACTTTTCCGTACTCTTATCAAGATAACAAAAAAAACAATTTTGGTGTTTCAAAAATGTTCTGCAACACTATTTTCTCTTTCTCATACGCCCGCATTATGGTAGTCGTTGCAAAAATAAAATATTGTATTTAAAAAAAAGAATGTAGGTGCACTCCACTCCCCTGTATTCTGACAAGGCAGCGAAAGCTGCACACATACCCGCCATTCCGATAGCTTACAGCAGACTTGTACACGTTAGTTAAAAATACTGAGGAATTACATTTAACACTACTCAAAACTAAATTGTAATTTATTACAATTACAATTACCCTCCTATTAAAGTAAGTGACGGCTGCCCCAAGAAGTAATCCGTTACTTTCGTGGCGTTACTTTCAACATTATTGCCCTCAAGTAAGAAACAAAGGGAATAGGGCTGTTCAAGTTCTTATTGTTGCCACCTGTTCCATTTATTGACCTTGAATATTCTGAGCAAATGCTGGCTCTTGAAAGTCTCGTCAGACATTTTGCGTTATTTCTTACTCAATAAGGAGTTTTAGCAGACCTTTTTCGCCCCGATAACGATACCTCCTCTACCCTCCGGTGGCCTGGGGCATGCATCGTATCGTTATCGGGTGTCGTTATTGGTGCGAAAAAACAATCTGCCTGAACTTTTTAGTATGTCAATTGCTACACTCAACACCATTTGCACTGAGGCACTGGATGCGAGTTCCATATTTTGCCTGAATGTTTTATGCTCTGCATTGAGCTTTTTCAGCGAAGCAGTGGAAGTACTATTTTCCTCGAAGATAGAGCAAAGCTTCGTCGTTGCAGCCGTTGCCTGATATTCGAGTTTTAGTAGATCGCTCCGACACCTTCGATACCCCCGATAGCGACATGATGCATGCGCAAACGTGGCGGCGGAGTATCGGGTATCGTATCAAAGTCATCGGACCGATCTACTAAAACTCTCCGTTGCCGAAATCGGGAAGCTGTAGAAGTCGTATGCATCTAGCCAAAACTGGAATAAGAATTGATTTATGTACTTACATTTTACTATACGGGCATATATTGTCAGACACTAGCGAAATATAGTTGTAGCAGTAAGGTGCTAATTAAATATTAAGTAAGGTTTCGCTCGCTATTCTCCTTCCTTTGGTTCTGAACAGTTCTAGCCTCGGTTGAGACGTTGGTGAATAAGAGAAAAGTTTCCAAGATATAAATATAAGTAATCGAGAAAAAAAAACACTAGGACACTCATAACAACAATTAATGAGAACATCGGTTAAAACAAGGAAATGTAAACGCACGTTTGTCATGTGTACCTGTCTTAGTGCCGTTCAAACACGCACAGAGCACGGACCAACTGCAGTTTACTCCGGTGTTCTCCAGATAGACACCCGCTGATGCCAGAGACAGCGAAGGGCAGAGTACTAAGTAAGCCGCGCTATAGCCCCGCTGATGAGTTTCACTCTCTCCTCAAGCCCAAAGTATCAAGTCTATGTCCGCCACCATTATGTTTTATTTGCAAAAATATATCTGCTTGAAATAAGATGTATCCTGCTGGGGTAAAAACAGGAAGAAGAAAAAAGGAAGACTATTACCATATTCGAAGTGCTCGCAAAAAGCTGACTCACAGAAAGGGTGACTAAAATGCAGATAGCCTGGCATGAATTCACAAATGAAGTGGGCCAAACCCTAGAAGTTGGACCACAAAAAGTAAGTAGCTTTTAAAACAGGGTCAAATAAGGAGAAAGAAGCAGAAAAAAATAAATCCTGTTTTCTAAGAGAAGATGATGTGTGCAGCAACGAACGATGATGCTTGTGGCAATAACACCTTCACATATTATCACATCTCTTTTAGTGGATTTTAGGGTAGACGAAACGTCCTCTCGTATTTCGACATTATGAATATTGTCGTGGTCACTATAACCGAGAAGGACATTGTTAAACCTTGTCTGTGCATTACCACTCCGAGCTTCTCGAAGAAGCACACAATCGCTTGGTGTTCTCCTCTCTCCATCTTCGATCGCAAAGAAGAAACAAAACAAAGGGACTAAAAAAGGCAGATATAGCTTGCCCCCTCCCCCGTAGAAATGCTTATTTGGATCTCCTGACATTGTTGTTAGGGTCCAAAAAAAATAGATTCAGGGGCTTTGTGTTGCAAAAAAAAAAAAAAAGCTTTGCAGAACTGAAGAGCGCCAATAAGCCTCCCTTCGCGCTGGTCAATTCGCGTGACAGTGTCACTGCGCTCGACTTTGCCCAAATAAAAACAACCTTTTCTTTAGAAAGGGGGTGGGGTGCAAGGGGGGGGGGGGGGGGGGGGAGGGGTGGTCCTCAAAAAATTGTAGCGGATTTCAAAAAATTTGTTCCCGTAAAAAAGTAAGGGAATTACTTTAAAATTACTTTAGAAAATATGTAATTATTCCGTTACTAAATTACCGATAAATGTAAGGGATTACAAGCAATTTTGTTACTTGTAACGGATGACGTACAAGTCTGGCTTGCAGCGACCGGAAATGATCCCTGGAATTCTGCAGACAAAGCTAGAGGTGCGCAAGCTCAGTATCAGCGTCTACCTCCGCTAGTAGAGAAAGAGGACAACGCCTGCTCGGCGTTGTCTTCTTGACCTTTATTTTTCGGATATTTTTATATGCCTTGCACGTTTGTCTAGTGGCTCTAGTGACTGGTCATACAAGAAAATTGTGTCCTCTTTTCGGTTATTCTCCTCTTATCGATTTTTTTTTGTTTCGTTGAACTTGCTATCTTTATTCTGCTGGTATGCCTGCTCACATTGCTCCAGTTTCTGTATTATGTTCACATTAAAAAAAGTAACGCGTAATGAAAGTAATCCATTACCAATATTTGTAACGAAATTACTTTACAAATCTGCAAAAAAGTGACGTGGCAATTAGAAAATTACTTGAAAAAGTAACGGATTACAAGTAATCCGTTGCTTGTAACGGATTACTTTTCAAGTTTGGTGTAAACTTACGTATCTCGGAGACTAATTGAAACTACTTTAAAAAACTGAAACCAGCTTATTACTTAAAGCAATGGACCATGTCTAACCTTCCATTCTCAAGTGTGGCAACAGTACAAAAACATGAAATCCTGAGACTTTAGTGCGTCCCCCTGTTCCGAACCTCTACGTCGTGATTTTAGTTTCTTCAGAATCTTCTTGCTTTTGTTTTCTCACTCAACTGAGTCTACATTTAAAAAAAAAAAAGAAATCATTAGGATTTTGATAATGTTCGACATTTTTCACAGATACATTTTAAGCTGAAACCTCAAAATGGGGGCGACGTTTTGCTAAGAAACTCTTCTTTAGAGCATGAGAAATTTAACTATATTAGCAATACCTCGTCTAGCGTCCAGAAGCTTCTATGCGGTTCGTTTTAAAGAACATTATGATTGAAACGTTTTCTGGTTATCACTACTGAAGGAGTGCAAAGAAAATGTGGGTGTCATAGGTAAGATTATGCGCATGAGTACGTTCGGTTGACATGTTTTTTTTTCGTTCGCATTTTTATATGTTACTCTCCGTTGTGTAGAGGAAACGTAGTCGAACTAGTTTTAGCAAGAAAGAAAACATTTTATAGAAAAAAAAAATATGATTGCGTCTAAATAGCAACCTCCGTTTTGGGTTTTTGTTATTTTTGTCAGGCTTGACAGCTACTATGCTCCATTGACCCTTAAGCTGAGACTAGAAGCTCCACCTTGTGGGGACCCTCTCCCTGGCTCCTCCGCTGTCCGTGACCTTGCCGGTCCCCGCCGCCGTATTGTCGGGCGCTCCTTCGTTCCCTCTGACCTTCCCGTTTCCAGTCGCCGTCCGGTCGCGGAACGTCCGAGCTCTCCGGGAGGAACGGGGCAAGCGCCCCCCTCACCCAGCGCTGACGTCGGAGGATCGGCTCGCGGCAGGTTCCCGATTGGACGGTCGGCGGGACAAGGACTTGGGAAGGTCTTAAAAGGGGGAACGAAGACAAAGGAAGAAAGCTTGGGCTGCCGACTAGACAAGGGACCGGTCACGGAGGCGAGCTCGGACGGCGCTGGACGCTGGCGCGGGGGAGTGCGGGCTCTACGTCGAGTGGCGGACTCGACAAACGGACCGGACAGCGACCCTGGACGACGACGTCCCCATGACGCGGTGTGGACGACCACCGCTGGGACTCGGAGAAGCTGCTTTGGCAGCGGACTCTCCCCCGGCCTCGCTGATGACTGTCCCCCGATCCCGAAACCCCCCAAGGCAATGAGTGAGTGAATAAACCCTTTTGCCGAGAGCGAAGTATTGCAGTGTCATATTCATCCGGAGACAGGGTTTGAGGGAATCGGAGCTAGCAGAAGCCCGCAACCTTGAGCGCGAGCTTTCTGTTCTTGCTAACACAAGTGTAAACGCGTAAACATGCGCAACCAAAGCACTGCGGAAGCCTGCGAGCTCGCGCTGAAGGCGGGGCTCGCAGGCTTCCGCAGTGGCTTAATGGTAAACGGAGTATAACACAGAAAGCACAAGACTAAAATGTTCAATAAATGCAGTAACCAAACTGTTGATATACATTTTATAGTTCTGTAAAATCTACATTTCGCGCATAAAAGTGAACAAACTTTGCTATTCTTCAACACGTTGACGCTACATTTGATAGTCGTTAAATTGTAGCGCTTTTAAGTGGCAATATTAAAATTTTTTTCTAAACAAGTACCAAAATTGCACAATAACATGAAAGTGAGTGATGCAGGGCACGCTAAATCGTCAACTTTCTTGTTTTTGTATGT